CCCATCTCTCCCACCCTCCATCCCTGTCCCTCTTCAGGGACCCTTCTCATGAGCAACTCCTCGTCTAGGAGGTACAATCCCTCCTATGAATGGGGGTTGTGGAGGAGGTTTCACAAGACTTGAGAGGGAAGGGGTTTTACTCCTGGTATTTCCTAATCCCAAAGGCCAAAGGGGACCTCTGGCCCATCTTGGACCTGCATCGCCTCAACAGATATCTCAAGAAACTGAGGTTCTGCATGATTTCTCTGGCCTCCATCATTCTCTCCCTGGATCCAGAAGACTGGTATGCTGCCATTGACTTAAAGAACGCATACTTTCACATTTCTATCTTCCATGTTCACAGAAGACTTATCAGGTTTATAGTGGGTCAACAGCACTAACAATTGTCCTCCGGGTTTTCAAGAAGTGTATGGCAGTAGTAGCAGCCTTCTTCAGACAGTGAGGCGTCCAGGTCTACTGGAACCTCAACAACTGGCTGCTCAAGGGTCAGTTGCAGGCTCACGTACAGAACATCATCAGGATGGTCTGAGCCACCTGGTCTGCTGATAAATGAGCAGAAGTCAACTTTTGTCGTGGTTCAGAGAATAGAATTTATTGGGGGCAGTTCTTGACTCAACCGAAGCCAGGGCCTTCCTGCCCAAACCTAATTCCAGACCATGTCAGGCCTGATATCCAGGTCATGATCCACCCAATCATGACTGCTCGGGCTTGCCTCAAGGCCTTGTGGCAAACCCCTTCTCTGCCCCCTCCCCCCCGGCCCCCCACCTCAGGTATGGGACCACTGCTATGGGGGCACATGGCTGCATGTACTTACATGGTCCAGCACGGAAGGCTGTGTCTCAGACTCCTTCAGATGTGGCTAGCATCAGTATACTCCCCGAGCAGACACCACTTGGACTCAGTGCTCACGGTCCCTTTCGTGGTCCTTGTCTCCCTGGACTGGTGGAAATCGATAATGATGGGGGTGCCCTTTGTTACCCCTCAACAGTTGGTAGCTTTAGTCTTGGACGTGTCAGACCTAGGGTGGGGAGCCCACCTCAACAACCTCAGAACTCAGGGCCTCTGGTCCCATGAAGAACTCTCCCTGCATATAAACATCAGGGAGCTCAGGGTGGTATGCTTAGCATGCCAAGTGTTCCGTCCCCAGATCTCAGGTGAGATGATGTAAGTCCTGACAGACAGTACCGTGGCTATGTTCTATATCAATAAACAGGGAAGGGCCAGATCTTCGGCCCTGTGTCAGGAGGCCATCTGTCTGTGGGACTTCTGCACGAAGCACTCTATTCATCTCGAGGTGTCACATCTCCCTGGAGAATGGAATGTACTTGTGGATCCCTTCAGCAGATCCTTTTTCTCTCACAAGTGGTCCCTTCACCCAGAGGTCATCAGGTTCATCTTCCAAAGGTGGGAGCTCTCCAGGTGGACCTGTCACTACCAGGCAGAACAGGAAGTGCCATCAATTTTGTTCTCTGCCGACACTTTCCTGCTCCTGTGGATAGATCTCCTATTTTATGCCTTTCCCTCAATCCCCATGTCCCTCCTAAAAATCAAATGGGGCAAGGTGAGAGTTATTCTGATAGTCCGGTGTGGCCACATCAACACTGGTTTGGCATGCTCCTGGATCTGTCGGTAGCAACTCCACTCTCGCTCCCACTCCATCTGGACCTAATTTCAGAAAACCACGAACAGTTGCTTCATCCAAACTTCACCTGCCTGCACTGAAATGCATGGATGCTGCATGGCTGAACCCAGAAGAACAAGCTTGCTTAGAACAGGTCTGGCAGATCTTGATAGATAGTAGAAAACCTGCCACCGGGGCTACCTACTTGGCCAAGTGGAAGTGCTTCTCAATTTGGGCTTCTCACGGTGTGCTCTCTTCATCTCAATCTTCCCTTCAGTCTGTCTTGGACTGTTTGTTCCACATAATGCAGCAGGACCTGGCCCTCTCATATGTCAAGGTGCACTTAGCAGCCATCTCAGCCTTCTACCCTCCAGTGAACAGCAGATCATTGTTCTCCCACAAAATGACAGTACTGTTTCTCCAGGGGCTGGAGAGGCTCTGTCCTCAGCCCCAAACCACCACCACCCTTTCCCCCCCGGGATTTAAACCTGGTTCTGTCAAGACTCACGGTTTCCCCCCTTTGCTTTTTTAGCATCATGCCCCCGGTTACTTCTCTCTTGGAAGGTCGCCTTACTGGTGGCGATCACCTGGGCCAGAGGGATCTCTGAAATCAAGGCCTTTATGTCAGAACCGCCTTATGCTGTGTTCTTTAAGGAAGAAGTCCAACTGCGCTCCTATCCAATCTTCCTACCAAAGGTGGTGTCACAATTCCATAACAACCAAGCCATTTTCTTAACAGTCTTCATCCCGAAACTTCACAAGAACTCTGAGGAATGGCTGCTTCACTTGTTGGACGTTAGATGTGTCCTTGCCTTTTATTGTTGAGAGGACTAAACCCTTCCTCAGGTCCACACAACTCTTTGTTGCAATAGCGGAAAGGATGAGAGGGCTTCCTGTGTCAGCTCAGAGGATCTCATCCTGTATAACCACCTGTATTTGGGCTTTCTCTGGCCACCTTAACTGCTCACTCTACAAGAGCCCAGGCTTCATAAGTAGTGTTTTTTGTGCAGGTCCCAATCCAGGATATCTGCAGAGCCGCAACCTGCTTGTCGATGCATACCTTCGCATCCCACTATACCATCACCCAATGGGCCTAAGACAATAGTAGTTTCGGAACAGCATTGTTGCAGTCAGTATGTCCGTGAACTCCGAGCCCATCGCCTTGGATACTGCTTGTGAGTCATCTAACATGGAACAGACATGAACAAGCACTCGAAGAAAAACCGGTTACTAACGTTTCGTAACTGTTCTTCAAGATGTGTTGCTCATGTCCATTCCATGACCCACCCCCTTATCCCTCTGTTGGAGTTAGAAGGGTGTGGCTGGTGGCACCCCTTATACCAGCGCATAAGCTTGCGGCTCTAGAGGACATTTTGAGCCAGCCCAACGGATACCACTGCGGGAAAAATCTCTGGCACACACACACACCTAACATGGAATGGACATGAGCAACACATCTCAAAGAACAACAGTTACGAAAGGTTCGTAACTGTTTTTTCCTATTGCATATTAGCTTGAACGTCACAGCACTTGAGCTTTAACTCATGCCCTCTGACAGACCAGTTAGCTTGAGTTTAAATCACCTCTTCACTGGAGCTAGAGATCTTTGTGTGTGGACGGGAGCTGATACTGCAGTGAAGAGAAACCCTCTGTGTGTTGTGGGGCAAGTTTAAGTATCTTTAAGTATGGTCGTGCAGCAAAATGAGTTGTCTGTAACATTCAGAATTAAATGAACACTCAAACTGAAAATCATTAATTTAAAAAAGAACTGAAAGCAGATTTGGGTGGTACACCCGTCCTTAGTTTTCCTTAACAATACTTGTGGATTTACAATCACTTTTCTGTATTTAAATATATATATTTCTTTTTTCCATGAAAGACCCACACAAACAGCAAGGTTAAGCTGACTTGAATCTTTTCCAGTACTAGTAGCCTTTGGTGTTACTTGTATCAATAATAAGTGCCAGATTTCCAGACAGCAATATGACTTTAACAAGATATTAATGGTGTCCCTTTAAATGTTAATAGTCAAGTACTTTTTTGAACTTTATCAAATGATAATTTGCTTTTTCCAAAGGTGGAAATGCATAATCTCTCATGCACATCAAAATTGTTCAGTGAGACTTGCAAAAGTTTGGTTAAAATCTAATTATGGAAATAACTTTATTTTCCCATTTTTCTTTCAGCTGGACAAACTCCACCACGTCCACCTCTAGGTCCTCCTGGTCCCCCAGGCCCACCAGGTCCTCCACCTCCTGGTCAAGTTCTTCCACCTCCATTAGCTGGGCCTCCTAATCGTGGTGACCGTCCACCACCACCAGTTCTGTTTCCTGGACAACCCTTTGGTCAGCCTCCGCTGGGTCCACTTCCTCCTGGTCCTCCACCTCCAGTTCCAGGCTATGGCCCCCCTCCAGGTCCACCACCACCACAGCAAGGTCCACCTCCGCCTCCCGGTCCTTTTCCCCCTCGTCCGCCTGGTCCACTTGGGCCTCCCCTGACACTTGCTCCTCCTCCACATCTTCCCGGGCCACCTCCAGGTGCTCCCCCACCTGCTCCACACGTGAATCCAGCTTTCTTCCCCCCACCAGCCAATAGTGGCATACCTACTTCAGACAGTCGTGGTCCACCACCAACAGATCCATATGGCCGACCTCCGCCTTATGACAGGGGTGACTATGGTCCACCTGGCAGGTGAGTGCTTTTAGTGTAGTGTGCTTGGTAGCACATTTATTCCATGTAGGAGGCATCAGATTCTCTTTGGCTTTTAAGTAGCTTCTTTTCCACTTTCTTCATTAAAACATCTGTCAGAATGTTTTTCTAGGTGTGGAAGCATCCTCAGATGCAGTGTCCTTCTCCTCTTTTTCCCCCTTCAACTCAGACCTTTGTCTGCCTTCACTTTTTGTAATCTTGGTGTCATTATTGACCTTCTCCAACATTTTCTATTTCTATCTGGCACTACCTCTGCAATGGTTTATTTATGTTTTTGCCTCAGCTATACCTTTAGAAATCTTCACCTTCATCTTCTCTTACTCTATTTGGCAACTGTCTTCTCATGGCCTTCCCAAGTCCCAGGTTTGCAGACTCCATCCTACGCAAAATGCTGCTGTCCTTTTTCTTAACATTTATATAGTTCAGTATTTGTAAGTACAGTATAGTACAAAGAACCATGACTATATCACTCTCATCTTCATGCAATGCCACTGGCCCCCATTTTTGTCAGGATTGGAATCCTTGTCACAAAAACCCTCCATGGATTTTCTCCGCCTCTGGGACTTTTAACTTCCTTCCTCTCCTACCTCCATCTGCTTATCTAGTACCAATCTTTCTATAGTTGGTGCAAAGTCCTTCTCTGCAACTCCTGCTATCTGGAACAGCCTTCCTGATTCTCAAATCTTATCTGTAACATCTCTTCTTCTTTGCCTATACCATGGGTTCTCAAACTGGGGGTCGGGACCCCTCAGGGTGTTGTAAGGATATTACCTGTCAGTCTCCACCCCCAAACCCCGCTTTTCCTCCAGCATTTATAATGGTGTTAAATTAAAAACACTTTTTTATATGTTTATTAGGGTGGTCGCATTCAGAGGCTTGCTGTGTGAAAGGGGTCACCAGTACAAAAGTTTGAGAACCACTGGCCTATACCTCTTAGTTTCTTTATACCTTCACTGTTTTTTATTATCCATTGTATTTGTGTTAAACTCTGTAAAGCATTTGGGGACAGTATGTAAGAAAGTCACTGTACAAAATGAAGTTTTATTGTATTTACATATAGATCTTATGAGTTACGTTGGTCATACTTCCAGTGTGAGGAAGACATGCATATTCTGTCCTTTAATATTAATTTTATTTTTTCTGTTTCTGTTTGGACATTGGTTCTGGTTCTTCCAATTATGGAATTCATAAGTAAAAATCAATTATTTATAAATGTAATGTTCATATAGAAATTGTATGGAAATTTAGAGTATTTGGCATAATTACCTTGTATATAATCGTAATAAACACCAGGTCTTTTCTGATAACCAAGATTGAGGTTGTCCACAGTTCGTAGAAGGATGGGGGAGGAAAGGGGTGGGAGAACAGGACAGAACCACTGCACTTGCTGTCCAATATTTTCATTATCATAATTTCAAAATTACAATCCATAACTATTTAAATTGTCATTAATTATATATCATAGGCGTTTCACTGGAAATAACATGTCCATAAGAGAACAATTACATATTCCATTGTATTGGAGGCATACGAAAAATAATACTCAAAACTCAGGGAGGTATGAATTTTTAGACATTTCCTCTTATGCTAAACTGGCTATAGGATCTTGTTCCACTTCTTGCTCTTAAGAGGATAGCATTGCTTATCATTCTGCATTTTCTTTCTACCAGAATAACTAACACTATTTTAGAAATAATATCCGGCAGTGAGCCAGTTTAACAGTCTCATTAACATCATCCTCCAGATATTCTATATAACAGAGACTGGCTGATAGAACACTGCAGAATTGGATGGGAAATTTTTTATCCCCATTTTGAATAGGTTAATTTCCATTTCTGTGGAAACCAAATACACATGATCAATAAAATATTATTTACAGCATTCAGCGAGAATACAAGAATTCCCTTTTACAACCCTAAGTGTAAGCTTGACACTTTCTCCTTAAGATTTCTTGTTAAAACAGTAAATTGGAGCACCCTTGAACTTGACCAGCAAAATATTGGAAATTAAAGCAGAAATAAAATCTTTGAAATGTTATTCAGGAGGTGGGGCATTAATAATGCTAGACCATATTTACTTCATCTGCTGCATAACTTAAAGTCCTGATGTGATAGAGCAGGGGACTAGAAACCAGGAATTTGAGTTCTAATCCCATTTTTGATATCAATTCCATCTCTGTGGGCAAATCGCCTGACTCCCCTGCCTCAGTTTCCCCATCTATACAATAGGGATAATACCTGCTGGTGTTATAGGGATGTTGTGAAGATTAGTTAAAATTTTGTAAAGCATTTTGAAGATGGAAAGCACAATATAACTGCTTCTAAATCTTCAATATAAATGGATGATCAAAGATAGCTTAAGCACATTTACACAGCAGATGTTTTAATGGTATTGTACTTTTTTTTGCCTGCAAGTTTTGTACCATAAAACTTTTTTAAAAACAAACAAAAAACCCAAAAACCTGCTTTCTGTCCTGTTTGTCACTTTGCTTAAAGTTGCAAACTTGAGTTGTTGATAACTGCAATGCTATCTTCACAAGCTTTGGGTTACTTTTTTAAACTTTAGTTTTATTAATTGCAGAGAAATGGATGCGGCAAGAACACCTTTAAGTGAAGCAGAGTTTGAAGAAATCATGAATAGAAATAGGGCCATCTCAAGCAGTGCCATTTCAAGAGCTGTGTCAGATGCCAGTGCTGGTCAGTAAATCTTCAGTGTCCCTCCTGTTCCATCCCACTAAAAGCAATTGTATATAATTTCCCCATGGGAATCTTGGAGATGTGAAGCCACTTTGATTTGATTTTTTTGTTGTTGTTGTAAACACAGAGTGCCATCCTGATTGTAGATATTTCTTGTGACTGACTTGAACTATACTCAGATTAGATTTATATGGACACTTACTGGGTACAAACATAGACCATGTTTTTAATAGCTGGTCCACAGAAGTGGCTTCAATGGCTGTTGCAGAGAAGACCAGCTGTCAAAGGATAATAGTTTTACAGATAGATTTTTATTACATTTTAATCTCTTTAACATCAAATTTACTTTCTTCTTTTCAGGGGACTATGGAAGTGCTATAGAGACCTTAGTAACTGCTATTTCCTTAATTAAACAATCCAAAGTATCTGCTGATGATCGTTGTAAAGTACTTATTAGCTCTCTGCAGGATTGCCTTCATGGAATTGAGTCTAAGTCTTACGGTTCTGGATCAAGGTAAAGCTTTCCTGTTTCATTCACTAGCTGCACTCTAAATAAACAAGACCTATAAAGGATAGGAGAAAGGTGTTTTATCCTCATTTTACGGATGGGGAACTGAGGCACAGAGTAATTAAGTGACTTGCCTAAAGTCACACAGGAAGTCTGTGGTAGAGCTAGAAATTGATCCTAGATCTCCTGAAACCCAGTTGATTGTTCTAAACAAGGCTATCCTTCCTCCCCAAACTGACCTCTGTAGCCTCATATTAAATGTAATTTTAATTAGAATTCTATTCCTTTACATGCTGCAATAACATGTAAACATCAAAACAAAATTAATTACATACTTGTGAACAGATTGATATATAATCATGATTATGAATGTAGTTATTAAAATTACTTCTAAATTATACAAAATCAGTTTTCATTTTTATGGTAGTTATCTGTATTCTTGTCTAGATAATTTTAAATGGCAAGAAAATTGGATAATGTTCTTCTGTTATCATTATAATTATGTGTTAAGGCTACTAAGAGAAGACATGAGGGAGAAAGGCAGATTGAAGTCCATCAGGCTTTACCCAATACTAACCAGATATTCATATTTCTTCTAGAATTAACTCCATATGGAATTTGGACAGATACTCAGTTTGTAGTCAGTCCAGATACTGTACTAATAGTGTAACTTACTGATATTCATATTCAAACAAATGCAATACCACTGTCCCCACAAATTTTCAATACCTAAAATGGCTGCCACACTTGCAGCAGCCATTTTAGGTTGGATACATTCCCAAGAGCAGCTGTCTTGTCATCCTCTCCTCAGTTTTTTCTACCTCCTTCCTTTCCCCTTTCAGTCCCCAATGGTAACACATCTCCTCAAATGGTAAGAACAGGAAATAGAAAGTATTGTGCTGGATCTGCTGCTGGAATCCTCAAAAGCGAAGAAGAAATGGGTTAATTTGGAAAAGTGGGAGTAGGGTACATATTCAGTATTCTCTGAATACCAAGTCTGCACTATTAAGTATTTGGTGGCTTCCTGAAATAAAAAAACAGATTCACCCCTTCTGTGCACTATACACATATGCATCTCTGTATCAAAATAAACATGTCCCCCCTTTTTTTTCTTCTCAACATTCTTGTTTGAGCATTTTCATTTTATTAAACAGGCAGTACTTCACACATCTTAATTTTCTGGTGTTGTGTGTGTATTTTCAGTAAAAAATTAATGAAGTAATTTCTTTTAGAAGACGTGAACGGTCAAGAGAGAGGGACCACAGCAGGTCAAGAGAAAAAAGCAGGCGTCACAAGTCCCGTAGCAGAGATCGCCATGATGACTATTACCGGGAAAGAAGCCGTGAACGAGAGAGACATCGTGATCGTGACAGAGATCGTGATAGAGAACGTGACAGAGAACGAGAGTATCGCCATCGTTAGAGAAGGTGGGCATTTCAGTTTTATGTTGTGTAGGGTTGATGGGTACTTGAATTAACAGTAACTACTTTGGCTTTGGGATTATTTATACAGTAAATATGTACACTTAAGTGTGGTCCAGCAATATGTATTGAATCCTTTCCTTCTTGTAGAATCTGAAGAGAACTTTGGTAAGTAATGACAGGTAACTATCTTGACTTGATGTGGGTTTTTTTCTTTTGCTAATTGCATGAATATGTAATTTCTGTGGTGTGATGTCAATTTTTTTCAGTTTTTATGGATGGGAAGATTAAACATGTTACTGAAAAGGCAGTAGTAAATCAGACTAATCAAAAGGAGTCTGTTCTTGTTTATCTAAACTCTGAAGATTAGGATACTCACAACTCTTAATCACATTTTGCAGTTCCATTTAAAGATTTAGAAATGTTTAAATTGTGATTATTTCATTGTAGGCAGTACTTGCATATATAAAATCCGAAGGCCTAAGTCCTACAGAGCTAGCTAAGTTGTTATACAGGTGAATTTTCTGTTGGTTGCAATGAAGGTTTTGGTCAAGTAAGGACTGAAATAGGATGTGTCTCTTTCTTTTATAAAATGTGACCTCTTAATATTTCCTGGTCCGTGAACTAAATTCAGGTGTTGTCCCCTTTGTTTTCTGTGCTGCACAATTGGTGATAGAATTTCTGCCTATAATCTAAAGATTGGTGAACAAATGTACAACATCAGGAATGGGGTTTTTTGGTTATTTTACACTCACTAAATGCTTCAGACATCCGCAGTCCTTTTATGGATTAAACTTTATTTAAAAAAAAAACAACCAACCAACCATGTAATTAGCTGTAGAGTATCACTTTGGGTAGACACTTAAAGAACTCTGGCTAGCCACTGAAAAAATGTCAATGTAAATATGCAATGAATATTTAACTTAGTTATATACACAGTTTGAGGATCTTGAATTGAAATTGCTTGATTTTTCTTGAATTTGACAATTGAAACCAAAACCTCTCTGTATTTGTCATTTGGAAGTCATAATCTTTTCCTATCCTTGCGTATTTAGAACAGTTCTTTAATATACTATGTTAAAAGTCACACTCAGAAGAAATGTCTCCTGACAGTACTTTATTACAGATTTGAGAAATGAAGTTTTAATGTGGCATTTAGTCATAGAAATTTATTCAAAAGACATTAATATAGTTGGAGCAAAACTATTCTGAGAATCATGAAAATCTTAGTAAGCCTTAAGTAAAAGGAGTTATATAAGCCATTTAAAGTGAGTGTCAGTTTTTCTTGGCATGCCTTGTAGCATTTCTCTGCACTAGAGACACAAGTCTGACCTTAAAACATCTGATCCCACTTAATATTGGGACAATATGTATTGTCCTTGGTTCATGCATTCCTTAGTGGCTGATCCATACAGTAATGGCCTATGGAAGGGGAATCAGAGGCTGAAAAGAGGCAGCTGAAGTGAAGTTGGCAGTCTTAATGTACCTTAATTGCTTAAGTGACAGTGGTCACGGTTTTACTTTGTACAGTGTACTATTTTAGTACAAACATTCCTGGAATTGTAAAAAAAAATTATTCACCATGGTTGCTAAGCATAAAATGTCAGAACAAAAAGTTTCAAATTTACATGATTGAATGTGGTTTCTTTCACTAAAGCGGATTTTCCTTAGCTACCACAAATTTGTTTTTAAATGTACAGTAGAACCTCAGAGTTATGAACACCTCAGGAATGGAGGTTGTTCATAACTCTGAACAAAACATTGTGGTTGTTCTTCCAGGAATTTACAACTGATCACTGAGTTAATACAGCTTTGAAACTTTACTATGCAGAAAAAAAATGCTGCTTTCTCTTTATTTTTTTAGTAGTTTTCGTTTAACACAATACTGTACTGTATTTGCTGGTGCTTCTTTTTTTTTGTGGTCTCTGCTGTTGTCTCTGGTACTTCCAGTTCCAAATAAAGTGTGTGGTTATCTGGTCAGTTCCTAATTCTGAGGTTCTGCTGTATTTAAGTGCTACACGTAAGTAGTATTGTGTAGGAGGTAACCCAGTTGAGCTGAATGATAGTTGCATTTCCAAGGCTTTCACTTCTTCAGTGGAAGATGAGTAAATGATATTAAATACTGTTAATTTGAAGTTCCCTAAATAAAAATTAAGATGGGAAGTTACTTTGGATGCACTTGATTATTGAAGTTTTATATTTTCATGCATTCAGACCAGGTGTCTGTATCGTGGAACTTCTATACTAAGTATAGATATATTTTCTCCCACAAAGTGTCTGAGGGAACATGGTTGCATTTAGTACTTACCATAACACTATTTTATTTATTTATTTATATACTCACACATTTTAGGTATGATGTGTGAGATTATCTGAATTATTATTTATTCAACTCTGAGTACACATGGGATTTACATATGCAACCTCCCTTTAAATTTGTGTGTTGTGCACCAAGACTTTCATTAGAATTAAGAGGAGTTGAGTAGATATATTCCCCTTCATCAAGAGGAAAATAGACTGCAATAACTTTATTTAAAGGACAGATTTAGTGAACTACATGCAAATGAGAAGTTGGTATTTTAAAAGATAAATTGTAAATAGTTTGTCTTGTCCTTTTAAAGAAGGGCTTAATTTTTGTAGTTTTTGTTAAGTACTTAATTTCAGTAATCTTCTGGTGTGTGTTTCATTTTCACCAGAATATATGTTTTTATACTTTTTTGGGGGCGGCGGAGAGGGTTTGCATTAGATTTGTTTATGAACAGTAATCAAAGGTTCCCAGACACTTACTGAAATAATAGAAATACTGAGAGGAACATCACCCTTTCTGCCAGTGTTTTACCAGATAATGCGAGTTTGTCTGTGCCTAAAAGATATGAATGACAGTGGTTTTCCTCTCTTTATTCCCATGTAAATTTAGTAGTGCTGTGATACTCTACTGGCATATTTTAACAAAAATGTTAAACATGCTCATTTTAGAAGAGTTTTAAAAGTTCATTGTAAAGTTTTGTATGCTGTGAAACATTAATCAGTTTTTATTACTCATTTTGTCATTTGTATCTACTTGCATTCATGTAGCTGGATTAAATTTGAATAATTAATAAATGTTTTATACAATTTTATTGAAAAAAAATCAAATGTACCATATCAAATTTTCACACTTCTGTTTGTACATTTAGAGATCAAAAACTAAGTTGTCAAGTTGACTTATGCACTTTCAGTTGGGCAATTGGTCCTTAAGTGCATTGCCAGTGTAATCTTGGCAAATAGTTACTTAATTTGAATGTTTTCCTGAAGTCTGTAACTTTTGCTAGCGTAGTGGTATAATTATTAATGTAAAAGTGCAGAACGTGTGGTTGATTTTTTTTTTAAAGTAAAATTTTCTGATGTAAAGTAATCTAGAAAATCAAGAACCTATGTGTTAATAATCAGAGGAATCTGATTTAGAGGAGTAACACCAAAATGAACATGTACAAACAGAAAAGTAATGTAACTTCATCAACATTAGCCCCTGATTTTTTAGAAAGGGTTTAGTTTAACTGGTGGTTCAATTATGTATTTCAGCTATTACTGTCCCATCTTAATCTCACTGTCTGGATTTTAATAACTTCTGAATGTTACACATTATTTCATTTTATGTTTTTGTTATTTGGATAGCTGTTTTCTAATTGTATAATTTTTTTGCACAATTAAACTGAATTTGGAATGAACTGCAAAGAGAAAAGTACACGAACATTGTAATATTCAATATGTATGTAGACTTTGTGCTCCATTTTTCATAACTTATTTCTCTTCCTGTTCTCAGACCACTGTAAGCAAAATCCTTAAGCCTTCTAGTGTACTTCTGGAGTATACAGTCCCAAAATAAAGTACTTGTGTCCATCTGTAGTAAAATAATCTTGAGCAGGGGTTCTCAAACTTCATTGTACTGCAATCCCCTTCTGACAACAAAAGTTACTACATGACCCAGGAGGGGGACCAAAGCCTGAGCCTACCGCCACGGGCAGAGAGGCCAAAGCCCAAGGGCTTCAGGCCCAGGTGGGGGCCTGTAACCTGAGCCCCACTACCCAGGGCTGAAGCCCTTGGGCTTTGGCTTTGGCCCTGGGTGGTGGGGCCTGGGTTTTGGCCTTGGGCCCCAGCAAGTCTAATGCCAGCCCTGGCGACCCCATTAAAAAGGGGTTGTGACCCACTTTGGGGTCCCGACCCACAGTTTGAGAACCGCTGATCTTGAGTATTAGTGTCACTTAAAAAAAAGAAAAAGAAATCACACAACTTGTCCTTTCTGTGTCTGTAGAAGAATATTGTACTTGATAATACATTGTTACAGGTAGATTCCTGTTTTCCATGGAAAATAAAGTTGAATGCTCATAAGACTGACAAGCACTTCACTTGTTAAATGTCAGATAAATGAGCCTGTTTTTTGAGAACTTGCAATTAATGGAAAAATGTTTATTTTGCAGATAGTTTTATTATTAAAACGAGTAACTATTAGCGTATCTCAAATAAACAATACAGTAGTACTTTTCAATGCCTAACTGTACTAAGCAATTTGGCATTGTTTCAGTGATAGTTAATTTTGGAGATATTGCTACCATTTTTCTCAGATACACCTAGTCTCTGATTTTAAAAAATACTGTACTTGGGGAAACATGATGTTAATTTGGAAACTGAAAAAGATGGCAACAGCTATAGAATGTGCAATATTATGTCTTTCTCTTTCGTTGTACTATGAAAACTCTTTACTTCTGTCAAATGAATAGGCCATTTTTTGTAGAGCTAGCATTCCTCATAAGAGGTATCATGCTTTTTGTACATTTGGTTGAATTCATGAAACTCATTCTGGAGGAGAGAGTGTAAAAGAGAAGCTGTACCTCAGTGGTATGCTCTTCCTTTTTTGCTGTATAAAATTTATTTTGTATTATTTGTGACTGCCTCAATGCTTTATGGGAGCGGGTAGTCTATCATTTAAAAGTTTACAGAGCCTTTGAATAATTTCTGCACTTCCATCATCTCCTTCGGGGGTGCTCTGATAAAATCCATGTTTGGGGTTTTTTGTTTTTTTTTTAAACAAAACTAATATCTTGCCTTTTAACTCTTTTTTCAAATGTATAATTGTATACCGTTTCTTAATCCTATTGGTATCTGATATCCTTTTTGTCTGCAAACATTAC